GCCATACTGAGATGCTTTTGCTTCACTTTTCTATAGCGGAAGGAAGTGGAGACGTGTCGTCCATGTTTTTTTTTAGTCTATGCTCCGGACCAAACTAATCCAGCCTCTGTCCCTAGCTCTATCTGTCAGTGGATCATCAACCTTCTGACAGACAGGCAGCTAGTGAGACTGAGAAAACACATCCAACACCTGCACAATCAGCACTGGTGCCCCCCAGTGATGTATTCTCTCCCCACTGCTCTTCTCCCTAACGACTGCATTGCAAAAGATCCTTCTGTCAAGCTTCTGAAATTTGCAGACGACACTACAATCATCAGCCTCATCCTGGATTGTGACAAGTCTGCATATAGAAGGAAGGCTGAACAGCTGTCTGTCTGTTGCAGTCATAACAGCCTGGAGCTGAACACGCTCAAAACTTTGAGGATGATTGTGGACTTTAGAAGAAACCTCCACTCACCATCATGAACAGCACTGTGGTAGCAGTGGAGTCATTCAGGCACCACCATCTCACAGAACCTAAAGTTGGAGTTCCACATTGACTATATTTTAAAAAAGGCCCAGCAGAGGCTGTATTTCTTTTACCGGCTAAGGAAGTTCAACCTGCAGGTGCTGCTTCTGCAGTTCTACTCTGCAGTCACAGAGTATGTCATCTGCAATTCTATAACTGTCTGTTTTGGCTTGGCTACCAAATCAGACCTCAAAAGACTACAGTTGATAGTCCGGACTGCTGAGTAAATCATTGGTACAGCTCTTCCCACTCTCCAAGAACAGTACATATCCAGAGTGAGGAAAGTGGCTGGTTAAATCATTCTGGACCCCTAACATCCAAGCCACTTCCTCTGTGAACTGTTGCCATCTGGTCGGCACTGCAGAGCACTGAGCGCCAGAACAGCCAGGCATAAGACGAGTTTCTTTCCTCAGGCTATCTACCTAATGAACAGTTAAATGTCTCCACTGTGCAATAAACATGTGCAATACACAACACTATTTATACTTTATACTATTTATACTTTATATTTAAAGTATGCACATAACTCTTACTCACAATCCCTTGCATTTGTGTATAACATACCTGTACATATGTTGTCTGTTGTCTACTTTGTATATTGTATATTTTTTAGAGCTGCTGCCGATAGAATTTTCTATTCAACTAATTCGTCCATTTAAGCCATTAGTCAGCTAACTGCACATTTATATTACTTTACTTAAATATATACCATAATGAGCCTTTAATATATAGCCTATTCCATGCTCAAGCGCACACATAAAGCTTACTGCAAAGCACCCGTAATGACCATGAATGTGTCTAAAAAATATCAAGTAAATATTTTTTATTTTTAAACCAGTGTTTTCTGAGTCAGTGTCGGCTGCAAAGATGAAGCTGATCCATCTCCGTAGTACGGTGGATGCGCCTTTAGAGAGAAATTCACCTTTCTGTCACCAGGGACAAATTCCTTATATGGTAAGCATTCTTAGCAATAAAGCTTATTCTGATTCTGATACTTTTCATTGAAGGCATCTGGCAACACAGCACACATACTAGGGCTATCAAAATGACTGAAAAACTAAATTCGAATTTCAGTTAGGGGGAAAAAAGCTTTTAGCTTCTCTCCTGAGGCCACAAGAGGGCGCATCGAGCAAAATATTATGCACGGTTCTTCAAAGCGTAATAAAATAACACGACTATCTTTGAAAAAAAGTGCATAAGGTTTAAAATAATATTTATAAACCATATATAATTAATAAAGTTGCTTAAACAATTAGAAAAAAAAAACAGCACCATGCATGTATGTATAGTTTAATACAAAGGACCGAAAACCAATCACAAAGAGTACTTTCTTCATTTCATATAAAAACATGATACAGTGGGACGGGGAAAAACCGCCATAAAGTCTTGAGACATGTTTTTTTTTTTTTAAGTTGAACTTACATTAATTTTACATGGCTTTCTGAACATGCGGCTCTCTTGTGCGAGACGTGAGTGCAAGCGAGTGAGCCGCCTGCTGGCAGTTTGTTTCATTTTTAAAGTATCTTTTCAGTTATTTAAATCATTTAATATTTCTATATTCAAAATTTTATATTTAAAACATTAATATCATCATGAATTTATGGATTTAATTGCACTCATTCCACTTCTGAGCCTCATTAAATGTCTGAAAGTACACCAAGCCACTTTTGTGTTCTTCTGTGCCACCTCTACAAATTAATTTTGTTAATACTGATTTAATTTGATTGGTAACTTATATTTCTTATTCTACTTGTTCTTATTCTGTCGTTTTAATTAAAATTTTTAAAAAGCTTATAAAATATATATATTTTTTAAATTTGACATAAAAGATTACATACTTTTAATAAAGTTAGAGGAGTCAAATATTACCTCGTTATGGGAAGGCTACTTTTTGATAACATTTTGGATAATTGATTAGAAGGTGCTATTTGACTCCTCTAACTTTATTAAAAGTATGTCATCTTTTGTCAAATTCTTAAAAAAATTATATTTTATAAGCTTTTTAAAAATTGTAATTAAAACGACAGAATAATAACAAGTAGAATAAGAAATGTAAGTTACCAATCAAATTAAATCAGTATTAACAAAATTCATTTGTAGAGGTGGCACAGAAGAACACAAAAGTGGCTTGGTGTACTTTCAGACATTTAATGAGGCTCAGAAGTGGAATGAGTGCAATTAAATTCATGATGATATTAATGTTTTAAATATAAAATTTTGAATATAGAAATATTAAATTATTTAAATAACTGAAAAGATACTTTAAAAATGAAACTAAAACTGCCAGCAGGTGGCGGCAAGTCTTATTTTTTATCACTGAATCATTCATTCAATTGATTCATTCGAACGGGTGATTCATTCAGGAATGAATCAAGTGACTGTCTTTATGAATGGGTAATCATTAATCACTGACTCACTAGATTCGTTTAAAAAACCCCGTTCATTCATAAACGAGACACCGCTGTGTTTGAATGGAGATGCGCAGCGGCTGAGCTGTGACTTTGTTTGAAACTATTTTCGATGACGAAATAGAGTAAAATCAGACAATAGTGTTATAGTCAGACAATGTAAGTCACTTAATATTAACTTCTTGTTTATTGAATTGTATTGTATTAAATCATTTATCACATTTACAAACTCCCTTAAAAATCATTAAAAGCTGTCACTCATCTTAGTTCATCTCGATCTCACATTTATAATCAACGAAGCTCTCTACACTGCGCAATGAATCTCTCACTTTGCTTATGAAAGGACTCATGAGATATGTCTGTGATACATTACTCAACGCTGCAAAAACACGCAGAAAGCTTTGAAGCTCCCCTGAGCACAATCACAAGTATGATGATCATCGGGTCAGTCGCACTGGTGCTCCTAAAAACATTTTCATAGTCGCACGCAGTAGTTTTCAGTCGCAAATGCGACTGAAATGGTCGCACTGTAGAGCCCTGGATCCGCCATTTTAAGCAATGAATGAATGACGGACTCTCCGTTGTAACATCGCGCAAGGCAAAATAAGGGGGTGACATCTAGTGGATTAGACTAGTAATAAGATTAACGTAAATCTTATGTTCAATGTTTGCGGAAATAAATATTGAAAAAAATTCTTTGAGAATCGATATTGAATCGACCACATTTTAAAAAACGATATATCGAAAAATCGAGTTTGGACACCCCTGTGTTAGAGTGACCAGACGTTTTTTTTGGTGTCCTGTCCACAGAAATTTCCCTTTTTACAGCACTTTTAAAACACCCCACAAATACACTGCAAACACAATTATTATTATTATTTTATTTTTTTCAAATTACATGTTTTTGGTTTATTTTTGTAAATCTGGTTATAATAATATTTTCACCTGTATGCTTTTTGTGATTTTTGGTGAATTAAAATCAGCCAGGGTCAGTTTAAACCACCAACATCGTGATAATTATTAATTATAACAACAGCATTATGAAAACCATATCAATCCCCAGTTTTTAATTGTATAACAACATAAGTAAGATTTAAATATTTTGACCACTGAAATAGTTTTCTGGTTTTCATTTCAGTTCCTGGTTTTCATTTCAGAAGTCTGTTCACCTCAACACATGTTTACTGGCATTGAAACAAAAATACAACATACAAACATATTTTAAAAACAGCCTTACATTGTATGACTCTTTTTAATCAGTTTTACATGAACATTAAGAAAGGTTACTCAAAATTTAACCTACTACACTAGGATCAAAGCTATTTTTTATCAGTAATAAATACGGATGTTCGCAGCACTTCTCTGACTAGAGTTGACATTTAAATTAAAGATATAGTGGGGTTAAATAAATAAAAATCGCACCTAAAAAAACTCTTGACAACTTTAACGAGTAAGACCGACCTGCCATACGTTCGCACTGAAGCACCATCTTTCACCAGGTCTGTATTGATCTCCCAGAGGAAGTGAAACACGGCTGGAGGAGGCAGCATTTCATATATTCAGTTTAACCATACATCTAGAGGCTTGGGTCATTGGAAATTAATAGCATTTTAGATACTCGGCACATTAAGACAACAGCGCCATGCCACAGAGTCACGTGACACGTCACCAGGAAAGAGGTACGAGGGCTCTGACGCACTTCCACATACATTTTATGAATTGGCCAAGCATCAGTATGTTCATTTATTTATTTGCTTATGTTTTATTTACATCATAATTATTTTTATGTATTATTTACGTTTTATTTATTTTGTGTTTATGTATTTTGCGTTCACCATTCCTTTTTTTCAACAGTAAATACAAAGTCAAAAGGGATGTAATTCACCCGTTTGGTATGCATCTTAAAACGTAGTTTAAAAAAAAAAAAAAAAACAATCCGGAATTATGACTCTTTTGCCTTATTGTTGGGAGATACCAACCTCCGCGGCTCTACCATTGGAGAAAGCGTACGTTAACAGTAAACTTGGATCACGTGTGTCTTGATAACCAATTTGTTAACGCTTCTATTGGTCAACTTACAACTGACGTCAAAATTCGCCCTCCTTCAAGGAAGTAACAAACCCCAGTAGGCCAGAGTTGAAACGTTATACAACAGAACTAAAAGCACACAAAGCAGAAGGCACGTCGCCCAGAAGGAGCTCCAACGGAACAGTCATGAATCCTGATATTAGCCGTGAACGTGAAAATGCATCTTTTAACCTGGAGATCCTTACGAACATACTGGATGGTGGTGCAGAAAAGACACGCAGGAGGAGAGAAATAGGTCAGCTGTGATCAGAATTATCTGATTTCATCTGCATTGTATATAATTGTATTTATTATAATTGTGTGTGTGTGTGTGTGTGTGTATATATATATATATATGTGTACAGTTGTTTTTGAGTGCAAAAGAAAAAAATAATTTATTTGATTTGATCTGTTTATTTATTTCATAGAGACAATACATGTTAATGAACATTAGTATGAAATACAAAATGTAAACAAGCCGGATTATAGCAACAGTGCAATTTACATCCGCAGTCCCTAGGCAGGTACACAAAAAAACAGGTACTCAGACATACAGCACTACATAAAACACAAATACCCCAAACACATTATTTAAAATTTCTGCGTATAATGTTTCGTCATAAGCCACTTTTTAAGATGGTATTTAAAAGTGTGATAAGTAGAAAATTGTCTTATTGACTGCGGTAAACTATTCCGATATTTATTCCCTATTAAAGACAATACTTTGTCAAAAAGATTTTCGCCTAAATGGCACCTCGCAAACATCTCTAATGATAGACCTAGTACCAATACCACAATCTGACATATGTTTTATACATTCTTTTAATGGAGGTGGGGCAAGCTCACACTAGACCGTATAAATAAAACACGCATATTTAAGCCTAATCAATTTCTAATTTCTAATTAATTAAAATATTTCTCAGGAAATGCATTTATTGTATTTTCCACAAAATACAATTTTATATATTTTTTTTCTGCAGACTATTGCTGTGCTTTTATTTTCTATTATACTGTTTCAGTATTTCATGAAAATGACATGTATAAGGTCAGCGGCCCTCTCACAGTTGCTATATTGCTTTTATAGGGGATGGTGATTCTTATACCAAGTCACTTTACATGCGTATTTGCAGTGACACCCTCTTTCATTATTATTAATTATTATTATTCTCTTTCCTTTTTTCCCTTTTTTCTTTTGTCATAAATTGGGCCTCTTTAACTATTTATCTATTCTAAAGTAAACATAACTTTGTACATAACTAAATTGTATGACTAAAAAATGAAAGAGAGATTTAATGTTCAGTAGTGTAAGAAAAATCTCTATTTCTATTTCTGTATCATAGATCCTCAGCCAGAACATTTTTTACACCAGCAAGTTTGAGACATCAAGGTAAAAAGTTAGGTTAAAAAATGGCACTTATCACCTGTTGTGCTTTATTTTTATTTCCTAGAGTCTCTGGTTATTAGTGATCCAGACTTCCAGCATGAAGACCTGAACTTCCTCTCCCGCAGTGAGAGATATGATGCAGCAGTGCGGAAGAGTGCTCAGATGATTTTGAAGCTTAGGGAATATGGTATTTCTGATCCAGAGGAGATCTACTCTTACAAGAGGTTTGTGTATTTGCCATTTAGGGATATTGTGTGATTGTGTGATGTATAGAGGATAGAAAACAAAAGTTTGAGGTCCATATTAAAACAGACTCCCAGTCAAATGCTTGGGTAAGTCTACTCTTTATGATTAGAATTTTCCCCACTGTTTAATATAAAGGTAAAGTCTTAAAAATATGAAAGTTAATTGAAAGTAGTTGAAAGCTGAAAGAAGAATATGAAAGTAAATAATGAGCGCCCTGGTGTTATTGTCACCTTTGTCCCAGCATTTTGTAATCAATGACACGTCATGTATGGGTTATATTCTTGCTTCATTCCAGCTGTTCCTTCCTAGTGCCAACATTGCTCAAAGAATCTTTTTATCTTTTATCTTTTTGAACTGGTTTCATCCAAACAATGCATTTTTCTGGATGTGGAGTAAAAATATCCTGTTTATTTTTATTAATTTTTTTTATTAATGGAAATCTAGTAAATATGTTTTTGTCACATTACGTTACTTGCTTAATAATGTAACATTGTAGATCCTTTTTCACCAAACCAATGGTATGATGTTGTAAAAAAAGGCTTGCGAGTAACATGAAAGCTTATTTATTTTGCAATCAAAGGCAAGTTCCAAAGTGTTTGCAGATAGCCTGAGCAAAGGTCTCAGGTTAAAAGTGTGTCAAAGGGAATTAAAGAGGATTAGAGTTTACCAACTCTACTCCTATTCTCAAACTGAAATAGTTGAAGTATGGTTGAAAGTTCACTTTTAATACACATTTAGCACTATGCTGCACTAATTTCAGTTAATGCAGCCATTGTGTACTGTTAATTTATTAATAATTACAAAGCAGGTTTATATAAATGTGTAAATACATTTGCCTTTAAAAAGCACTTCTGAAAACCAGTGTAAATTTCTGTAACTGCATATTTGCGTGTATCTCTACTTGAAGTTTTATATCTGTTTGCTCTTATTCTGCAGTATTGCGAAGGGTGTGTATCAAGAACCCTTTGGTGTCCATTATGTCATGTTCATTCCCACCTTAAACAGCCAGTGTACAGCTGAACAGCGCAAAAAATGGATCCCATTAGCCGAGTCATTCCATATGTTAGGCACCTACGCTCAGACAGAGCTGGGGCACGGTCAGTTCCTCTCTCTCAGACAATTATGGGAAATGTACTTTTTTTATTTAGGCCAAACAGAAAGTGTTGTACTTATTGGGTTCAGCGCTAACAATGGATTTATTTAAGTGACCCTTGCAGGTGTTGACAGCCCAGTATGGTCATATTTTAATTGTTTACTGTCTACTAATCATACAGAAATTATGATTGCATGTCAACCACCACGGCTTATGTTTATCTCGATTGCTAAACACCGCGTTTCAGCAATGACTCATCTGAACGCCTCTGATTGGCCATTGAATTAATAAGCTCAACAGAATCGTGTGTGATTGGTCATAATATAATGCTCAGCGCTGTAAAAACGCTTCTGTCTCTGGCTCAGTGCCAGCCAAAGTGCAAACGCAGGTTTGAATTTAGCGGCTGATGATGTACCACACTGAACTTTCTAATCACACTGGCGTGATAGTATCAAATATAAAAAAACATTATTCAGCTATTTTTTTGTCACAACAATCTCAGTCTGAATGAGCATGACAGAGGCGTCCCCCAAGGTCGCT